GTGCCACCTGCCACCATCACGGCTGTAGATTCTAGATTCCTGCAGGAGCTTCCAGCCAATACTCACCAGGAACAAAGACATCACAGGAAGGGAGCCATGTTGCTCTATGGTTGCCCAAAATCAGGAGGAGTCTCGGAGCAGCTTTGCAGTGTAAGACATTTAATCAATAGGCATAAGTTTTTTTATAAGGTGTACTTCACTTCATTGGACACATGGAGTGGTTAAACTGACACTTTGTCCTGGCTGAGATTCTATATCAGTATAGCTCAGGGGTGGGTTCCTGCCAGTTCTAACCTCTTCTATAGAAGAGGTTCTACAAATCTACAGTGCCGTTTAGAACCGGTTCCAGCTCCTTCCCTCCTGTCCGTCCACATATCATCAAGATGAAGAGTGAGAGGAGGAATTCTGGGAGTTGAAGTCCGCAAGGCTTAAAGCTGTCAAGTTACAAGACCCTTGCACCTCTAACCCTTTAGAAAAAAACCCAGGGGGGTTCAAACAGCTTTAAGACTTGTGGACTTCAACTCCCAGAATTCCTCCTCTCGCTCTTCATCTTGATGATGTGTGGACGGACAGGGGAAAGGAGCTGGAACCGGTTCTAAACGGCACTGTAGATTTGTGGAACCTCTTCTATAGGAGAGGTTAGAACTGGCTCACGATTAGCACTCAGCTGTAAGGTCTGACACCACAGAACATTTAATAGCCACTTATGAACATTTAGTTTATTTTCTTTTTGATGTCATCTTTTATGCCTCCTACGCTTTTCATATCCTTTATGCTCGTACACCTACTTGTATAAATTATATTACCTTCCCATTCCTTATGAGCATAATAAAGTTTGATTCAATTTGATTTTGATAACAATATTGTTCGTTACGATCCATTTTTGCAACTAGGGTCAAAGTAAGACATAATTGTGTAAAATAAAAAGAGCGGTGCAGATTTTAGACTCATGGATTAGGAGAGAGATGATGTGTGAATTAGTTGTCAGTTTTAGCAACTAAAAATGGTTCTTCTATTTAATGATTACTGAGAACTGTTTGTTGAAAATCAGAGCACTGAATATAACAGCCTCCAAATTTTTTGTAGCGTCCAGGAAATTAGATCAGTATTATCCAAGATGAGGTTTAAATCAAGGGCTTTCCAGATTATGTGGAAATATGCATATCAGAATTGGTTGTTTTTCCCAGGGAAAAGCAATTAGAGGGTAAAGCATGGCGTGGTTATTTTCCTGTTGGCTGTCTCTCTACTTTGGAGTA